CGCTGCTGCCCTAGCTGCCGCCGCGCCTCCCCCTGTTGCGCCACCGCCCTAGTCGCTGCAGCCGCCGCACTCCCAATCCCCCAGCCACGTCGCTCTTTCACCTAGCCGCCGCACTCCCGATCCCCAGCCGCGCCGCTCCCTCCTACCCTAAAACCCTAGCCAACACCCGCACCACCCCGAGCTCCTCCTCCACCGTTGCCATGTCTCACTCGAGTCTCTCTCACCGCAGCAACCCGTTCGCCTCCTCCTCTGATGCCGGCTCTCTCCCAAACCCGGCGTACATCCGCGATGTTCCGATCTTTGATCGCGTCCCGATCAAGCTTTCTCACACGGAGGCCAACTTCTATGCCTGGAAAACCTATTTTAACCTCCTCTTCCGTGAGTACAATCTCCGTGATCACATCGACGGCACCACCGACTTCCTCGCCATGCGTCGCGATGAGGATTGGATGGCGGTTGATGCCACCATCATCCGGTGGCTCTTCCTCACCGTGTCCAAGGACATCTTTCACACCGTTGTTCGCGACGGTGATGATGCCTACATAGTGTGGACGAAGATCATCGGCCACTTCACCAACAACAAGCTCCAACGGATCGTCTTCTTGCAGCAGGAGTTTTTTGGTTGTCACCAAAACGATTCCTCCATTGATGCCTACTGCATGCGCCTCAAGACCCTCTCCGACGAGCTCAACGACGTCGGCTTCAAGGTTGGGGACGAGCTCCTCCTCTCCACCCTCACCGCCGGTCTCAATGAGGATCTCGGTAACGCCGCCTCCAATCTTACTCTTATGGCTAACCGTACTTATGAACGGGCGGTGGCCTATCTTCGCCTTGAGGAGCGTCGCCTGAAGAATCTGCGGGCTCGCGCGGTCGCCCTCGCTACTAGCTACTCCCCCGGTGGGTCTTCATCAGCACCTCCCGCCGATGGCCACGGCGCCCCGCTGCCTCAGCATCCTCGCCCGCCGGTGCCTCTAGCACCCGCTGGTGCGGGTGGCTATGGCGCCCCCTACGGCGCCTTCCCGCCTCGGCCTCAGGCGCCTGCCCCGCCACCTCCACAGCAGCAACAACACTAGGGCGACCGGCGCGGCTGTGGTGGCCGCTCCAACAACGGCAGTGGTCAGCAGCGCGGTGGTGGCCAGCAGCTCCCTTCGCCGCCTTGGGGTACCGGCCACAATCCCTGGACCGGGGTTGTGCATGCTTACACGATGCCGGTTCCTCGCGCTCCACTCCCGGGTCTTCTCGGGGCTCAGCCGGCGACGCATCAGGCCTTCTACGCGGCCCCTCAGCTCGGCGTGGCTACACCGCCGCCTCCCCCTACCCCGCACCGTTCAGCTATGGCGGGCCGAACCCTAGTGGGGGGTGATGGGCTTTACTGGCTACCCCATGCCACCGGTCTCCTATGACCCGACACTGCTGTCGGCGCTGTAGTACACGCCTCAGCCCGGTTCCTACACCAGTGGTGGCGACTGGTTCATGGACACCGGTGCATCATCTCATATGGCAGCCTACCCGGGTAGCCCTTCCTCCGCGTCTCCCGTTCACACTTCTTCTCGTATCATCGTCGGTAACGGCGCTGGTCTTCCCATTACTCATGTCGGTTCTACTCCTTTTCCTTCTACGTCTAGGCCATTGTCTCTTAATAATGTGCTCGTGTCTCCTCAACTTATTCAAAATTTAGTCTCTGTTCGTAATCTGTCCCGTGATAATTCTGTAATTGTCGAATTTGACGAAGTTGGTTTTTTTGTTAAGGACGCCTGTACCTGGATGGTTCTTCACTGATGTGACAGTCCCGGCGACATGTACCGCGTCCAGCCTTCATCATCTTCGCGTGCTGGACCCCTCGCTCTTTCCGCCGGCGTTGATCTTTGGCACGCCCGTCTCGGTCATCCTAGCTCCACCGCACTTTGTCAAATAGTCAAGGGTTTTTCTTTTTCATGTAATAAAGCGGATGCTCATTCTTGTCAAGCATGCCGCATGGGCAAACATGTTAAGACTCCCGTTTAGTTCTTCTTCGACAGTTGCATCTTATCCTTTTGAATTGATTCATAGCGATGTATGGACGTCACCTATCACGAGTAACTCTGGTTTTTTATATTATCTTGTTATTCTCGATGACTACTCTCACTTTGTGTGGACTTTTCTGCTTCGTAGGAAATCCGACGTTCCCGCCACTCTCATCGCCTTTTATTCCTACGTGTCTACACAATTTGGTCGTCCCATCCATGCTCTTCAAACTGACAACGGGAAGGAATTTGATAACATCACCATCCGTACACTTCTCTCCAACCACGGCATTATCTTCCGGCTAACATGTCCGTACACCTCCCAACAAAATGGCCGGGCTGAACGAGTTCTTCACACTCTCAATGATTGTGTCTGCACTCTTCTGTTTCACGCCTACATGCCACCCCGGTTTTGGCCTGATGGCCTTGCCACCGCCACACTTCTTGTTAACCTTCGTCCTTGTCGTGTCCGTTGGAATTATACCCCTCATCATCTTCTCTTTGGTTCTCCTCCGTCCTATGATGGTCTCCACATTTTCGGATGTCTTTGTTATCCTAGTGTAGCAGCCACAGCTCCTCATAAACTTGCTCCTCGATCCTTGCCTTGTGTCTTCCTTGGTTACCCGGCTAACACTAAAGGCTACCGATGTTATGATCCGGTGTCTCACCGTGTCATCACCTCTCGGCATGTTTACTTCGACGAGCGTTGTTTTCCTTTTGCACAGGAACAGTTGGTGGCGCCACCCGCAGGAGATGATCCCGCCTTGCCTGGCCCTTCTCACCGATGTGCTGCACCGGGACCTCTCCCTTTGGTCCCCGCACCGCCGGCCTTGCCAGCCCCCTTGTTGGCTTCGTTGGTTTCGCCGGCCTCCTCGCCGGCCACGCTGGCCTCGCCGGTCTTGCCAGGCTCGCCGGCCTCTTCTTCACCAGCATCTTCGCCGGGGCAGACGCCCAGCCCGCCACCTTCTGGCGTGGTAGCGCCTGGCGCGCCCCGGCTCCTGCAGCTCCACCGGCCGCTGTCATATAGCCCGCCGACCCCGCTACCCGTGCACGCATGGGCATTCATTGGCCGAGTCTCCGCTACTCCGCTGATGAGTACGCTTGTCCAGCCTCCACGGTGCCTCTGTCGCCTCTTCCGACCTCCGCTCGTATGGCTCTTCGTGACCCGCTTTGGTACGCAGCGATGAAGGAGGAATTTGAGGCCCTGCAGCACAATGCGACTTGGCAGCTTGTCCCACGTCCCCGGCACGTCAACATCATTACCGGGAAGTGGGTGTTCAAGCACAAGTTTCATCCCGATGGCACACTCGACCGCTATAAAGCACGTTGGGTGGTCCTAGGCTTCCGACAGCGTGCTGGTGTTGACTTCATGGATACATTCGCCCTGGTTGTCAAACCTGGGACGATTCACACTGTCCTTCAGCTTGCGGTATCTTGTGCGTGGCCGGTGCACCAAATGGACGTCTCCAACGCCTTCCTCCATGGTCACCTCGAGGAGCACGTGTATTGCCAGCAGCCTACGGGGTTCGTCGACGACACTCACCCAGAGCATGTTTGCCTGCTTTCCCGCTCCTCGTACGGGCTCAAGCAGGCTCCCCGCGCCTGGTACCAGCGCATCGCAGCGTTTCTTCATCAGCTTGGCTTCCACTCCACACGCTCCGATGCTTCGTTGTTCATTTACCGCCATGGTGATGCTACCGCCTACCTGCTGCTTTATGTCGACGATATCATCATGACAACTTGCTCTAGTGCTCTTCTTCGACAGCTTACCGACCGTCTTCGCGCCGAGTTTGCCATTAAGGACTTAGGTCCTCTGCACTACTTCCTCGGGATCGAGGTTGTTCGACATGCGGATGGCTTCTTTATTCATTAGCGGAAGTATGCTCATGAGCTTCTTGATCGCGCTGGGATGCTTAATTGCAAAACCGCGTCCACGCCTGTCGACACGAAGGCCAAGCTCTCTGCCACCGACAGCTCTCCTGCTCCGGATGCTTCGTTTTATCGGTCTATTGTGGGAGTTCTTCAGTATCTCACTCTGACACGATCGGAGCTCCAGTATGCTGTCCAGCAGGTCTGCTTACACATGCATGCTCCTCGTGATGCTCACTGGACTGTGGTCAAGCGGATTCTCCGTTATATCTGCGGCACCATGGATCTCGGGTTGTCTCTTCATGCCTCTACCGCTCTGGACATCACCGCATACTCTGATGCTGACTGGGCCGGCTGCCTTGACACGCGACGTTCCACTTCGGGATATTGTGTTTACCTTGGACCGTCCTTGATCTCTTGGTCGTCCAAGCGGCAGCCCACTGTTTCTCGCCCCAGTGATGAGGCAGAGTATCGAGTGGTGGCTAACATCGTTGCAGAGTGCTCGTGGCTTCGTCAGCTTCTTCATGAGCTCTCTTGTCCTGTCGACAAGGCCATGATTGTCTACTGTGACAACGTCTCCGCAGTTTACCTCTCCGTCAACCCGGTTCATCATCGCCGCACCAAACATATTGAGCTTGACATTCACTTTGTTCGGAAATAGGTGGCTCTTGGACATATCCGAGTTCTCCACGTCCCTACTTCCCAACGGTTTGGGGACATCATGACCAAAGGGTTGCCTACGGCGTCCTTTGAGGATTTTCGATCCAGCCTTTG